GAAGAGCAGCAGCAGCAGAGGCGTGCGCACCCACAAAATGGCGGCGTCGCTGCTGTCCGCACCGCCGGGATCCCGCATCCCAGTGGCGGTGCCTCCGCCATTGACGTCGGCTTGGCTGTTGCCCTCATTATTGTTGTGGGAAGTTTCCTGGGCTGCGTTGTCGCCGGATGGAGAAGAGGGCGTCTGACTGGAAGCTTCGGGTGCCGATGCCACATGTTCGTTCGTGTCTGTGGATGTCAGCAGGCTGACGGCGAAGTTTTCGCTTAGCTTTGGATAAGAGCCGCCTTCGTCTGTGTGCTCAGGCGACTTCTTATGCGGTGTCTCAGCTGCCTCCCCCGGCGGACTGCCGACGCCGCTTTGTGCCTGGCCAACAACCGCCGCTGTCGGTGCAGCCGCCGAACTGCAGTTTTTTATATTCTCGCTCAAAAAAATCCCTATGCTGGTCCAAACAACACTCGGTCTACCGCCAGGGGCGCACAGTCCGTTATTTTCCGCATCTTTGTAGACGTACCCAGCGGCAATGCACACCAGTGCACACTCATCCTCTCCTCCTCCACCTTCTGCAGGCTTATTAGCACACTTTCTCCAACCCGTCTCGCCGGGAAGACGCCAAATCAACTTACCGTCAGTCCTTGAACAAGAAACATGCACATCCATAAGGGTTTTTGCCGGCACAGCAGTCCCGCAGACGGACAAACAGCAGCAGCAGCACAAGAGCGCGAGGATCAGCAGGTCGCACACCACGCGGCGCCGCACAGTCACCATCATCATCATTCGTCGTAGAGTCGCTCGACTTTGTGAGACAATCTACACAGTGGGGCAAGGACAACAACAAGAAGAAGAGGGAGAGAGGAATACATGTGCCGCACTACAGGAACACGCACACACACGGTCGTGAAGCAGCGCCCAGCACCCCACACGCACACAAAAGGGGAAGGAGTAGAACAGTGTAGCCCCCAGGCTCCGGTGGATGTGGCTACAGTCCCGGGAACCGGGAAGGGGAGCGCATTCCTCGTGGAGGGCACGCGCCCGCGAAGAGTTGCCGAGCCCGCAGGAGATATGCAAGCAGGAATGACGGTGGGTGGGCGTTCGGTATGCGGTGTGTCTCACGGGAAAAAGAAAGCAATGCAAGGGACAAATCAAAATCCCACATTTTTCCATAAGCGGAGTCACATTTCGTTGTCGGCCAGGCAAATGACATCGGATGCCCCGCTCAGCCGCATCTGCCAGACGCCCCGCGGCCCACGTACATCGCGGAGAGAGCACGCAGCTCCTCAGGCTTCCCTCACCGGCACTGTCGTGCCAGCGCACGCATGTGAATGTCGCGCAAGGGTCCCACGAGCCCAACGGTGAGTCCATGCACCGCATTTCCCAGAACAAACTGGGGCACCTCGCTCTCTGCCCTTCGCCGCGGAGCCACTCCCGCACACACCGCCACATCCGCCACACCGCCGCGAATCACGGTCCTCCCACAAGACTCTCGCAAATGCACAGCACGCACGCACCCTCTCCTCCCAGCAATCAAAAAGAACGCACAATCCAAAACTTCTGTGAAGAAAAAGCAAAAACGACAACCCCTTCATGACAACAAACTGAAGTGACGACAACGAGGTGCGGCCGCAGCAGCCCGCACCCTTTCCGCAACGCATGGCTCCCCTCTCTCCTTCCCTCGCTTCTCACCCCATAGCCACCATGAAGAAATCTTTCGCGGATCGCCTGCCGGAATTCGCCGGCACCCACGATTGAAGGCAATGAACAAAGTGACGGCGGAGCCGCAGTGCACTCGTGTGCCGCGCAAGCGCGTCACTCGCCATAAGGCTCTATCAGCACCCCCCGCACCACCGTCCGCCTTCACCGCCTCGCCACACCAGCGATGCAAGGCACCCTTCTGGAGAAGATGCTCCCGCAGTAGCGCGCCAACGCTGCCGTCCGCCTGCCGCACCGCGCGGGCATCCTCGTCCTTCACACAGCACCGCAATTCGCTGGGCGCGATTTGAACCTCCAGATCTCTAGTCTCAGCGCAGTCCCTTAGCGTGTGGAGGAAGCAGCGCAGTCCCACATTTTCATCCGCAAAGCAATGCCACTTGCCGCGCCAATAAAAGACGATTATACGCGAGTGGGTGGCGCTCCGCAAGCGTCTACTGCGGACGCGCAAAGAACACGAAGCAGAGCAGCTCCACCGAGGACCCAGCGTGACGCGTTGCCATGAACTCCTGCAGCACCTGCTGCGTCAGCGCTTCCTCCGTCACGGTTGGTCCGTCCGCGGGGGGCGGCGTCAAAAGGAACCGCGCCGGCGTTACACTATCGCGACTGGAAAATGCGGTTTGCCACAGGAAGAAAATCCACGCCACCTACCAAAAACGAAAAAGACCAATGGGGAAAAGGAAGGGATGGTCACACAGGAGGGAGGGAGAAAAAGCAATGCGCAGGGCACACCCACGGCCGCAACAAGAGGGGCGGGGCGCATCCAAGTCCACGGCACCGTCCTTTACTTCTCTTCCTCGACGGAATAGCACTGCGGCTCACAGAAAGTCTTGGCGGGTGGCGTCCCACACTCACAAATGGAGCACGTTGCACACCATCCGCTCTCCTCCGAGTGCACTCAGCAGGCCGGCGCCCAGTCACCCTCGTGCCATCGCAATGGGGGACCACAAACAATCGGCGTCGCGGACCATCGGTGCCTCTAGCAGGAAAGAAAGCAGAAGAAATGGAACATGTCAACAGCACAATCAGCAGGGACACACCCAACGGAACAAGAAAACACAAAATAACAGTCAAAACGGCAGAGACAAAAACATATCCGCAGGGAATTACGAAAAACAAAAAAAAAATGAAACAAACAAACAAACAAAATGTGGGACCCCTGCAGGACTCATGGAAAAAAAAAAATGATTCGGCAGGACTTTCATGTGCCATGCAGCTAAAGACGATTGGGTGCTTGCACATATTACCTGCACAAACGAAAAACGTAATAATAAAAAAAGATCGCATTATTCCAGCATCCCACACAACATTCTTCACATTTCATGCGGCATCCGGCCTGTTCCTCCAATCCTCCTTTCGTGCAGTCCGTGGGACGCACAGCCGCAGGGCCGGCAACGCGTGTGGTCAAAAACAAAAACAAACAAGAGGGAGAAACACTTCGCTCATTACAGTGTTCAGCAACCTAAAATTACGCAAAGAAAAAACAACAGTAGTTATTACTCCGGCTGAACTACAGTGAAAAAAGACATTTAAAAGTAAAGAAATTGAAGAAGTAGAAGTAAAAAAAAGGCGGGCAATGCGGCATTTATTCTCCGTGAGGAGTCGCAAATCCACATTCTGTGGCTCAGAAGACTGCCACCACCCAAATACAATCCCAGAAGAAGCAGCAACACACAAGACACGCACGCACGCACGGTGTTGTTACCGCTCAAATCACGCAGTGTCAGTTTCACGTCGTTGAGAGAGGCGAGGCGGTCGTCGGGACTCACGCCGCTCCACACCCTGCGAGGTGACTATTTGTGGTGGGGATTCGTGTCCAGGGGCGTTGTGCCCATTCATTTCCATTCCGTAATATCCCCAGCAACGTACTCTCTGACACTGTCAACTACTCGAATCTTCTCGGGTGGTGTCGGAGCCGCTTCTCTCGTCGGAATGGGGACTCTGTCCCTGAGTGCACGCATCGCAGTGGAGTTCAGTGGGCGGCTGTACAGAAAGACGTTCGTCACCGTCACATGAGATTCGTGCCCACCACACGCGCCAAAGAAAAACCTCAGGACCTCAGGTGGCCTCTCGCCTGTTAACGGCACCTCTTCCTCCCCCAGCGACCGACCAACAATGTGCACAGAGGCCTTGTTGCCTTGCAGCATGAGTGCCACTTGGTGTTCTTTCCTCGGCTCCCAAGTGCTGCTCCGTGTCGTTGTCTTGCCTTCGAACGCCGTCACTCACTTCTTATTATGGCTGTACGACAGTCCCACGGTATGATTGGACGCAGTGTGTGCCAGCACCGCAGTCAGTGGAGAAGTGTTCCCACTCGGAGCCTCTTCGATGGTCACCGACGCCACAAGTGTGAAGTCGTGGCTCAAGGATACATGACGCACTTAATCACCCCGAGTGTTCACAGGCCATATTGCCCTGGACTCAAGTCCCGTCAATTGTAACCCATCGTTGTCCTTCACTGCATTCCTTCACCATCGCATGCAGGCAAGGGTACTCGTCGTTCCACGTGCCATCACTGGCCGCATCAAAAAAAACTGCCACCAGACACGCCGTGGGTGTAGACAATCTGGAGAAGAAAATGTCCTTTTGCGCCCAAGTACTGAGGATGGACTTGATTGCACTCAGTCCCTCCGTCATGCAGGAAAGTGAGATGACACGGCCCTCACCGTTGCCCCTCCGTTGTAAAAGATGCAAACTGCCATCCGAGTACAGCAGGGTGCTGGCGAGCATCCAATTCGCAGCATTGTCCACGGCAACCGGTCCAACAGGAAACGTGCGGTTGTTGTCCGTGACCCAAAGGCAGAGCGCAGTGGCCCTTTTCTCCCCCGAGGTGTGCCCTCTCTGTGTGCACAGCATGACCTTCCTTTCCTCAATGGTCGCGGTGATGAGGGCATCCACATGCAGGCTTTCCTTCTGAGAGACTCCTGATCGTGCGTTGGCCCACACGGCTGAGAGTGTCCCGATGGCCTCCGTCCACGCTGTCCCCATGTCACGCGACTCGTACACCCTCTGGCCATTCTCGCAGTCAACAATCATGGGAAGTGATCCCTCCCATTCTGTGACGCGGGGGTTAAGGCATTCCGCAGGGGAAATATCCTCAGAGAGCGCCCAGGTACTGCCGCTGTCCGTCGAGCAAATGATCATGGAGCAAACGTCTTCTGCCTTACTCTTCGCCATCAGAGGAAACACAAGCGTGCCATCCTCCATCACAACACCTGCGCCACCAGAAGCAATGAACTCCTTCCATTCACCTTCGTGAGAAGCAGAAGAGATCCGTTTCAGGAGTGGTTTGGGGTCGCCACATTCGATCCGTCCACTCTGCCTGCCACCCGTGGGATTCGTGACATCACCCACAACCAGTTTCGGCTCCAAGCCGCCCTCTCTCCAACACCCACCTTCGTAGGACACATCAGAGCTTCCAGTAAGAAGAAACACTCCGTCGCCCTTTCGTGATTGTTGTGGGGCGGAGCACAACACCCAAACTCTCCTTTCCCTCCGCTGCACCAACCACAGTGTGTGCCCTCCATGTATCCTTTTTGACCTCACCAACAAGAGTGGACCAATCCCACGCAGAGTCGATGCACTCCGCAACCACATCAGAAGAAAAGGGCTTACTTAATTGACCACCTTGATATTCGGCATCCATGCGACCCTCGGCGAAAGCTGCAATTACTCCACCAGCACTGACGAGAGAGGGTGAAGCAAATGAATCCCTCGTCGTAACTGGAACAATCCCATCCTTCGGCTGCACCAGCGTCATCTGCAGCACAAATAGATCGACTCCCTGCAGTAACTCAACATTTATTAAACCACTCATCGCATCATCAATGGGATCCCTCTTCGGCTCGGTGACAGGCGTGGGCCTTCTTTCGGATGGTGTCGGAGCCACATTGATATTCTAAACGTAAGCAAACTCAGGCTTCGTCTCGGACGTGTTGGTCCCCGTGTTGGATGCGGGACTCGGATCGACGTTATTGGGTGCGTCAGCCGCGGCAGACTGTTGTGCACCCTCGTTCTGACGTGACGGCTCAGCATTCACTTGCGGCGCAGTTGTCCCGCAGGATTTTGTGTCATCCTTCCCTTCACGGGGTGGCGGCAACTGACAGATGCCCGTCTGGTCAGCATCGCTGCTCCGTGCAGGCGGATGGATGGTTCCATCGGGAGAAATTTGACGCCACCACAATTCATAAGGGCCGGCGTATTTATGTGTCGTCACATTCATCGTGAAGGCAACGGTGGCCCCTTCCTCCTTCGTTGCACAGCTGGCAGCACAGTTGCTACATGTGTGCACCGCATTGGCCACATGGCATACAGCACCCAGCTCACCATCTCTGCTATGCATGCGCACATCAAAGCCACTGAAAGTATAATTCTCATACTGAGCCTCAGCACTGGCAGCAGAACGCTTCTTCCACACACACACACACAGCAACGCACGCGATAGCTCAGGCTGCCGTCACTCGGTGCACACAACACATCCACCGGCACAACCACCGCATTCGCATCACCAGATACATGTCCAGCAATCCCAGCAGCCGTCACGCACACAGAATTGCAGCAGTAGCAGCGCAATAGCGCAACTGCCAGCATGCACTACAAAAGGAGCATTCAAATCCACTGCAATGTGAATCCTGTGCGTGTGTGTGGTTGTGTGTGCCTGCAGAAACACAAAGCAAAGAAGTAGAAAAGAGGGAGCAGAGTATGTGGAGAGACGCACAAAAATGTGCAGCAGAGACGCGTGGCGGAAGCAACAAGAAGAAGACCGTTCAAACTCATGAATGCACTGCATTCCAAGCAGTGGCAACCCACACAAGATTTATTTTAAACAAAAAAACGTCCCCCTCGTCTTATACAAACCCCATCACACAAAATAATTACAAATAAAAAAAAATCGTCCATTACTGTTCCACACAAATTTAGAAATCGCCTAACTGCCGTGTGGCCACACCAAACTGTCTGTATATATTTTGCCCGGAAAGAAAATTGAAAAGATGGTTGCGTGTGCTTCAACCGTCTGACCCTCCATGTGTCCGCACATCGTTTATATTTCATGGGGTCATCTGCGTGTTGCTGCTCCCCTCAGCCCTCCCATCGGCGTGCGAGTGCGGCCCGCAGAGCACAGTCACTCGTGTGTGTGGGGACTGAGAGAAGCACGCAGACATGACGGGAGTCGCGTCTCTCCATCGGGAGAGTGAGCGCAGCAAAAAAAAAAAATCATCAGGAGGGGGAGAAATGCTGACGGGACTGCCAGCGCGTGAAATGAACACGCAAAGCAAAAAATCTTAAAAACACGGTGGCAGGGTGTGGCTGTGTGTGTGTGGCGCTGCGGGTGTCTGCCTGCCCTGGCCGCAAAGAAAACAAAACAAGAGGGAAAGAAATGTGTGCTCCGCCCCACAGGCCCTCGTCGCACGCCCACACGTCACGGCTCCCTCAGCGCGCCGTTCGTCGCGGCCCCTCCTCATGCGTGCAGCAGGCGAGGCGCACAGGGCCGTCGTCATGAGCGTGTCGGTGGGTGTGCAAGTGGAGCAGTTGGGCGGGAAACACACGGCACCCCTCACGGGAAGAGTGCAGCAAGAAACAATTAAAAAAGGGAAGAGTGGAAAAAGAGGCCCATATTGATTGCCCTCAAAAAGCAAAAAAGGGATGCGGGAGTTAGAGACAAAAAAACAGAAAGTAAAATGAAAAAAAAAAAAAACAATAAAAAAAAAGGGATTTATAAAAACACACACAAAAGTAAAAAAACAGTTATTTAGGAGGAGAAATTTCTTCCCAGAGAAAGTAATTCTGTGCAGTGGAGGTCGCACTTGTCCCACGCGGCAGCCAGTCACTCCTCACAGAGCCACAAACCCCACAGTCCCAACAGAAGGAGCAGCGATGGCAGCAGTCCGCTCTCATAAACAGTGCTGCCATCACCTGTTGCTCCTCCAACGGCATGGGAGCTCGAGGCCGCCGCCTTCCCCACACTTCCCTGCGATGTATTCGCCGGCAGTTGGTGTGTAGTGGCGGATTTCCCCACCGTTGTTACTTGCTTTGCTTCACTTTCTTGTCGAGGCCGCTGCAAGGTCGCTTGCACCACTGGAGCTTCAGAAGGTTTCGTAGCAGGAGGCGCCTTCTTTTCATCTTCTTCCACCGATTGAGAAACAGTTTCAGTTGGCTGCAAATTTCCCGGTGGTGACACAATATCTTTCGATGGTGAATCGGTAACTTCTTCCACATCGGCACTCCCACCTGAAAAAGTCAGCGGGCGGTTGTACAGCAGGACGTTCGACACAGTCACAGAAACGCCTTCTCGGCTTTCTGTGTTGTCTGCGCTGCCTCCATCTCCTCCAATGTAGAAGTGCGAGATCTCTTCCGAATCCCTATTTTTCAATTCACATAGCGCATTCCCCACACGCTGACCATCAACGTATGCGGAGACCTGTTTGCCGTTCTGTAGCACAATGGCCACCTGGTGTGTTCTCCCTCGCTTCCAAGTGCTGCTGTGCTCCTTGTTCGTTTCGTCACCACACAGCAACTGCCACTTCTTTCCGCTGTCGTATGACAACTCCATAAGTTTTTTTCCTCCGTTACTGCCCGCACGCACACCCAACAAAGGAAAAGGGCTCTCCCTTGGCTCACCGTCGATGGACACCGTCGCCACAAGAGTGAAGTTGTAATTCGCGAAGTGGTACAGCTGATTCTCCCCCTGCTTGCCAACAGGCCACTCCGCTCCTGCGCCACGCTCCGTGAAAGTCACGCCGTTATCCGTCTGCTCCACCCATTCATTATTATTTACTGTTGCGTTCACCCCGAGGTACTCGTCCTTCCATATCTTATCAAACAAACTGCCGGACAAAAAGCCAACCAGCCCATCCGTCGGCATGGCAGCGCTGCAGGCATTGTCAGCTAAGGCACTCTTCGCAGCACTTGAAGTGGGGCACAGCTGGGAGATACGTTCGTCCACTTCCTTCCACGTCTTCAGCACCTCCTTCACCCGCTCCAGCTGCGCAGTCAAACGCACAGACAAAAGACTGTGTGATGTTTCGTCATTGCCCTTCTTCTTCTTCTCGTACAGTGCAATCAACTTATCCTCATTATTATTATCTTCACCTCCAGCACTTTTGTACAGCAGGGAGCTGGCGGCAACTTCGTCTTCGTCCTTCTCGGATACCGGCCCAATATCGACAATGCGCGTATTGTCCGCCAGCCAAAGATGGAGTTCACTCTTTTCCTTGTTTTCGCTGCCTCTCTCCTTAGAATACACCGGCAGGGTAACGAGCATCACTTTTTTGTTGTCATCTCCATTTTCAAAAGTCGCTGTAGTGAACCCGCTCGCAACACGTTTCGTCTGTTCCTCGTGTTTGTTGCCCCACACGCGCGAGAGTGTCCCGAGTGCCTCCGTCCACGAAGCCCCCTTGTCACCGGACTCGTACACCCTGCGGCGGCCACCGTCACACGCAGTCATCATCATGAGTTTTCCCTCCTCCCACTCCACAACGGAGGGATAACTGCAGCCATCGGCAGACATCCCCTTCGACAGCTTCCACGTCAAAGTATCCTTCGAAGTGTATATGACCAGTGAGACAGTCTTTCCGTCATTTGATTCACCATTCTTCTCCTTCTTGCCTTCCACTGGGAAAACAAGCGTATCGTCATCCGTCTGAACGCCCGATCCACCGCCTGCAACCAGCTGCATCAAGGAATCCTGTTCGCCATCAGAGAAAGTGCCGACCAGTCGCTGGTTCTTATTCCACTGGATTTTTTTATTGCTTTCTTCAGAACTGACTTCCCCCTTCACCAGCAAAAGCCCCCAGTCACCTGCACCCCTCTCCTGAGGATTAGTAGCAGCTGCCCGGCTGTATTTTCCAGCAAGCATGTAAATATCATTTCCCTTCACAGCTGTTGTTGGTCGGCTCACATCTACTTTCTTACTGTGTGGGGAAGTGCCTTCCTCCAGAACTTGTGTCTTCGTGTTGGCATCATTCAGCACTTCCACCGGTGTGTTATCCTTTTTTTCCTCTGTTTCCGTGAGAAGTTGGGATGCAATGCCGGTAAAGCTGTCTTGACCCTTCTTGCACTGCGCCTCGGCAACGGCAAACACGTCACTTCCCACTTTCAAAAGGCTGGGAAAGCCCAAAGATTCCACAGTTTCACCCTCAGGGATTTTATTCCATACAAATTGGGGATCAGACGACTCCTTCACCCCAGTGACTGCAGCTCCACCACTGCCGCAGCAAACCATCACGACAAAAAGAAGCAGCGCCGCGGAAGTAAACAAACGCCGGGACATGTTGGGCCTCTGCGGTTCACTCTCTCTTCCTTCCCTCCTCCTTCCGCTGGATCCGGTCACACGGCGACGGTTGTGTATGCGGGGTGCCTTGACTGCAGCAACACGTAAGAGCATATAAATATGTGTGTGTGGGCGGTGTGTGTGTTGTTGGTCCTTTCAGTGCCTTCGAATTTCACAGTAGCGATTCGCGTTTGGTATTAACTTCCTTCTTGGAGGGGAGCAACAGACAGCAGCGGCAGAAAGACATCACAACAGCAGTGCACACCGCCACCACTCACAGCAAAACACAACATCACCATCCCCGCAGTCATTACTCCCCAGCACCTCTCAACAGCATAAAAAAATTAAGAAAAACAAGTGAGCAGCCTCCCAATGGGGACCGCAGGCCATGGCTCTGCAAATAAGGCAAGCGACAGGGGGCCACATGTGCAGCGAGGAATACCAGAGTTGCACTGCAACGGCACGGCAGCGTGATACCCCGTGGGGAGCATCGATGCAGACCAGCAACACCGCCTGCAAGAAAAGTTGCTTCTCCTGCTGAGCAAAAAGGAAAAACGGCCTCAGCAACCCAATAGTGAGAGGTCGCCTGCACCTCTTCGCAGAACCTGCAAGCTCTGCAGGCAAAAAGATGCAGATGACGCTCTGCTGCACGCGTGACGGCCGTCGCACCCTTCACAATGGCAATCGCATCCTGTGGCGCCACACGCCGCAGTGGATGCGCACAGTCTCCGTCTCCCTCACTCCTGCCCCTCTCACCGAAAACATATTGGTGGCCGTGGCACACTCACCGACATGTCAGAAAGCAATTGTGTTTCTTCTTCCCTCGCACATCGCACAGCAGCACCGCCAAACGCATTTCACTCCTCCTTTCGCGGATTCTCCTCAGACAAGCCTCCAACCACATTCATCGGCCCACAGGCACGCAGTCCGTAAACGTCACGCTGCTGCCCCGCATGATGGAGCCGCAAACACACCAAAATGGCACCCCGCTACTCGGCGCAAGCACTGTCTGGACACACAAAACAGGTTGCCCCAGTCAACAACAGCCCCCTCCAAGCAGTGAGGCAGGACTCGTCACCAACAATCAAACAATCAGCCCTTTGTCTTCTCCTTCCGCCATGCACGAGGTTTTGTCTGCCCCATACATCCTCCGTGGCGCCCGGACTCTCAATGAGCAGAAAACACACTATGCGTTCCTCGGCTCAACGAGAAGCCCATTGACAATTCTCAGCCAGTCGTCTCCCCGGGCTATGCATGGAGAGCACCACGGCAAGAATGCACAGAAGCTTATATGCAAACCTCCCAACTCATTCCACGTCAATAAAAAGCATGGCACCAGACATGGGCTTCACAACAATGTCGGCTGGCGCTTCCCTGAGAAGTCCCCAATACACACTGCACGTGATCAGAGTAAAGAAAAAGCAACGCCTCCAGTCCGACCGTCATTCCGCGGTGGAGATCAAAGCACAATCCAACAAAATGCCGCAAATCATCACATATTTCACACAGACCATCCGCGGCTCATGAGGCAAATGCACAGTACAGAAGAAGAGTCACGCTCACAAACACGCAAAGCACAGACAAAGAGGGAGTTGGGAAAAGCAGCACTAGAGAAACCTCAGCCAACGACAGAAGAGCTCGTGGGTGCTACGTCCAAAGCCATTCTTTGTGAATGCAAATGACAATAACGACAAACAACGTGAAGCACCTGTCAGGCGCCACAATATGGGCCATAGACATCACCCACCCATTCACTCGTCTCCCTCCCAATGGTGTGGCCCTCCTTCACCTCCACAAACAGGTTTGCCTCTCAGTCATGCGAGTCTCTGACGCAAGCACTCAAGGTGCGTTTCGGTAATCCAAAAGCCAACACCTCTGACCAACAGAGGACATGCTCGCAGAGACCACACGGCTCCTCAACGCAGCCTCAAGCCCTCCTCACGACTCTTTAATGCGATGGAGAGGAATAAAAGCGACTCTCGTGTCACAGAGGGTGGCCAATGGGAGCTGTGTCCACATGCAGAGAATGCCAAGTTGTGAAACAGGAGAGGCAAGAGGAGTGCTCGCAGTGGACGTCACCTGCCACGTCTGAAGTGCATCGTCACATTCGTGCAGCGGGGAACCAACGACACGGTTGTTGCGGTGGCTGCCCGTGTATGCACCTCACACTCGGGCCAATGAACGCCTCAAGGAACATCCTACCAAAAGTATACAAATCGCTGTGCAAACAGTAACAATTCTTGCCAACGTCCCGGCGGCCGCTCTTTTGGCGAGGCGCCGCTCTCCTTCTTCCTTTTCTCCTGTGTGTCGCCCTCGTATGGAGTGAAAACACCCTCCACGACAGGTGTCATCAAGTGCCTCCAAAGCATAAAAAGAATATCTACAGGGGCCGCTGGCCGGATTCTAAGTTTATAAATAACAGAAACCAAACAAGATAGGAATAAGAAATGAACGAATGGAATAAAAATGGGGATTCACCGTATCCTCAAGGTCTAGCAACAAGTAAGTGTACATTAATGTATGCATACTTTGTTAGTCACCATCGTGACCCAATCACTCTATTCGGATTGGACATATATATATGTAGGTGTGTGTATTCATAACTTGAGAAGTGGCAGACTTTGGGCTCCTCCAGCCACAAGAACCCGTCGCAAGGGTGTAAACCAAAAAGGGAACGAGTGGGAAAATAAGAAATAAAAAGTTAATAAAAAATCCTTCTTGCCGCTATCGGCTCCCTGCTCCCTTCAATCACCGTCTTCCAAAAGTATTCATGCGATAGGAAAAGGATAGTACAAAAATATCTCCGTTTTCTCAGGGCATATTCATTTAGGCGGCCAGTCTCTCCCGTGAGCATCCTCCTCGCAAGCTCCTAATAAAAACATAAAGATATATTTCTGTGGGGTTCTTTTCCTATCGCATGAATACTTTTGGAAGACGTTGATTGATGCAACCGAAGGAACCGATAACGTCAAGACGAATGTTTTAATTCTTTTTTTTTTTTTTTTACCATCCCAGTAACCTTCTTTTTTAAGTCCCCACCCTTGCGACGGTGTCTTGTGGCTGGAGGACCCCAAAGTCTGCCACTTCGTAAATAAGAAATATATTTATTTATGTATGCATCCAATCCGAATGCAGCGTTCAACATGTCGCGAGAGTGGGGCCACCATAATGCATAAATATATAAATATGCGGAGCAAACAGCGAGGATTTGGCGAGCCCACTGCCTCTCCATTGACTCATTCCTCCTTCCCTTCGTATTTTATCCCTTTAGAAAATTTGAAGATCCGGCCAGCAGCCCAGACGAGTATTTCTTCCTTTCGCTTTCCTGTTTGCGTGTGTGCCACAGGCACGGTTTGATTCAAGTGGCATTGGTGCCTCCACGCCATCACATCCTTCTGCTGCCGCATTTGCGGGGCAATTGGGTTTGGGCATCCAGAGCACACACACACACACACACATCCGCAGCAAAACCATAACTTGCATCCCTCCCATCCGCAGCCAAAAAGGCTCCTCCATTGAGCCACACGGAGACAGGGTCAAGGGGGAATTAGTTTAAGTTCTCTCTTTATTGGTAGCTGCCACGCGAAGCAACAGCAGTCGGGGGAAAAAAAAAGCAGGGAACAAAAGTGAACAAATAGGTATGACAAGGAAGCACCCCATTTTTTCCTTTTTTACTTCGTCCGGTAACGGTGCACGTTGCCTGTGAAATTTGGTGCGCATGACGGCAGGGGGTGCGGCCCCCGTTCGGTGAGAAGAGCATTAAAAGCCGTGTCGCGCCCTCGCGCCGCCTCAACTTCACACCAGACTCCAACGTGAGGGCCCCAGCAGCAATAGACTCCGGAAGTGACTTCACAGCAGCCTCTACTAGAATTGGGGTGGCCTTTATCCAACGTTGACGCATGAAATACGTTCAATGCGGCCACAAGAAAAATAACGGAGGCGTTTGCCGCCGCGTAGTTGAAGGAAATGTCATCGCAGAGCAACGCCTCCAGTATAAGACGAATGGAATCCTGTCGAGTGGAAGTGAAACTCGTCAGGCTGGGGTACGTGGGCACATTAACAACCCGGTAAAACAACTCCTCAAAG